AAGGAAGGAAAGAGAGAGAGAGAGAGAGAGAGAGAGAGAGAGAGAGAACACACATGGCCGGCAAGCCACTCCCACAAAGGAGGCCACACCCACAGAGTAGGTTCGAAATTTTTTTTGAAACACACCACTGGATGGACAAATGGGAATGCCAAATGTATATGGGTGTCTTTGCATACCATACGAAGTGAAAAAGTGACTTATTTTTTTGGCTTTTCACATTTTTATGAGAACAATCATTTTATTGGTATGTCATGGTTTATGGCTGTGATGGCAAAGTGGCACACAGAGCCATGTGGCCTGGCATGCATGGCGTCACCCGTTCCTCTTCTAGGATTCTGGCATGCATGTGCACGCAATGATCAGCTGGCCTTCGTGGGTGTGGTAGTGCTGGAAACTGGAAGAGCTGGTCTTCCATTTTCTGGCGCGAGCATGCATGCCAACCAGCTGATTGTTGCATGCGCATGTGTGCCAGTAACCTGAAAACTAGCTGGCACCAGAAACTGGAAGTTCATTTTCCGGAACGTGCACGCCCCCTAGGCAGCTCCTCTTCCGGGTCATAACCCAGACGAGTGCACACGCGCACACGCGCAAGCTCCCTTTTTGACACTCAGTGCTGAAAATTTTCACCATCACTGGTTTATGGATTAATAGCCATGTTTACCTCACATTTAATCTGATTACCAAATCAGGTCCATTTCTAGATTGGCAGAGAACTACACTGAACCATCAACTAATGCAATAACTTGAGTTCATACAAGCTAAGGCACAAACTTTACAAGATTAGATATGTAAATGCAGCCACTGGGTTTGTAGTCTCCTCCGTTGCTTCTTTGGCAAGCTTAAAATCAACCATCCATACTGTTATTTAAAGAACCAGGAAAGTTAATTCATCCTACCCAGGCTCCTTCAGTCAACTCCTTTCTTAAATTTGACTATAGACAAAAATTTCTGTAAAAATATGGTGGTCGGAGGTATGCATATGTTTTAAAACTTAATATGTGTTCCTCCTGCCCATACATGTCCATTTTCTGACATTCTGACCTACAGTGATCCTTTGCTCACCCTTGGTAATAGATTTGCCATATCTTTAGCTTTGAACTATTTTCCCCCACATTTTTCATTTCGCTGAGTCTCCTGAAAAGTGGTTCTCATTCCAGACCCAAGACCGACCCTTCCAGCCCAATCTCTTTTCTTTCATCACAGAAATGAAAAGTACCTTTGGAAAATTGCGATTCTTTATCAGGGAGACTAATTGATGCATTTTCCAGCTCCATAGTATCATTAATGTCTTCTACACTTTTCTTATAGGGGTATTCTTAAGGGGGGAAAAGAATTAACATTAACGTAGAAGATAAATAAATCAAAGCAGAAAAAAAATCCTGATGAGATTTGCAATATCAGAGAAGAGAATTATAGGATTTCCATATTTACTTGTCTCACACCATTACTGGTGATGATAACTGGTGAAAGTGACCATTGTTGTTCTATCAGCACCATCCATATCTGTAGCTTTTCAAATATGTCTGTGGCCTGGGGGTTCATCTTCACAACCAGCTCTTGAACCAGCAGAAAACTATGCCAGCATAAAATTTGCTGTCTCAACTAACTTGGCACAATTACAATAGCGGTAAATATTGCTATGCTTATTTATAGTGGAGAGGGCACATAAAGAATTTGGTTGATTATCTTTGCTTGGCTGTCTAGGCTTCCACCAACCGTTACCAACAATTGGGAAACTGTCCATTATTCACTTTCCTTAATATGGGCTAGAGTTAGTGGAGAGATGAATTTTGACCTCTGGTTCTATGCAAGGGTTCTGCATAGGTTCATTCCAAGGGAGTCTGACCACTAGCTGATATCCAATGTCAGTAGGTTAGTGTTGTCAACCTATGTTCAAAAAGAGCTTAATATATGTTCAGTGCTCTTCCACATCAGTGCTATACTCATATGAAGGAGGAGCCACTTAGCAGCTGATAGATTTCTTCTGCACACAGATTTAGCATTATTTCCAAAGAGTGCTAATTCATTGTTGAAAAAAACTTATAATCATGGGTAGGGTTGCTCCATGAAGGGCTAGAGAGGCAGCCAATTCTCTCACTCACTCACTTCAGCACACAACCCACACCACCATCACAGCTAATCAACTGATCCAAATCTGTGGCGCAGTGGTTAGAGTGCAGTACTGCAGGCTACTTCTGCTGCTGGCTGCCTGCAATTTGGCAGTTCAAATCTCACCAGGCTCAAGGTGGACTCAGCCTTCCATCCTTCCGAGGTGGGTAAAATGAGGAAATTGGAAGCTCAAATCTCACCAGGCTCAAGGTTGATTCATCCTTCTATCCTTCCGAGGTGGGTAAAATGAGGAAATTGGAAGCTCAAATCTCACCAGGCTCAAGGTTGATTCATCCTTCTATCCTTCCGAGGTGAGCAAAATGAGGAAATTGGAAGTTCAAATCTCACCAGGCTCAAGGTTGATTCATCCTTCCATCCTTCCGAGGTGGGTAAAATGAGGTCCCAGATTGTTGGGGACAATATGCTGACTCTGTAAACTGCTTAGGGAGAGCTGTAAAGCACTGTGAAGAGGTATATATCGTGCCAGGATCTGTTCCTCAATAAAAGAACTAAGAGCATTTATTGCGAGAGCTAGGAACTGCGCAAGGAGTTCTGGCAGTGATGTGAAGACGACAAAGAAGAAGAAGAAAAAGATGAGGAAGGAAGGCATAGGTAGTGAAAAGCAGGTGATGCAACTGGGTGCCCACCAGCCT